ATCTGTTATGAGATTTGGTACCCTTTTCAGAAAATCTCAAAATAATTATAAAGGTAAACATAACCATGTGGTATTTTATGTTCTGCCTGCTGAGTGAAGAGATACTGTGTACCCATTTTGTAACCAACTTTCTATCCTGAGTAGCATCACCTGTCCCTACCAGTTACCACTCCAGGTCTACAGGGTATTTTCCTGTGAGACAAGCTGTACAGTGACCATTATTTGCAAAATGCTCCAGACCATTTCCATTTTGCTGAATCATACTATCATGCTTTTTCACTTTCTGTTTTTTTAATATTAACTCTTCTTGTACAGATGAAACCAGTCCTTCTACTGACAGATACACAACACTGTTTGCTCCTGCAGGAGGAAAGAGTGAAAAATCAAAAGGTTATTTCCTTTAGAAAGGAAGAAATGATTCAATAATTATAAGCAGCATAATTGAAGTCAGAACACAAGTTTCTCTTTAGCATTTCTCTAAGATAAAAGTGGACACACCGGCAGACATAGATACCAAAATTCAGCTTTGATTTTTTAAAGTTTTTCTTTTTTTTATGGGCATGGGGAATCAAACTTAAGATTGCACACTTGTCAGGTAGGCACTGCATTGCTGAGCTAAATCTCCAGCCCTGATTTTTTAAAATGTTTAAGTACTTAGCAAGTCATAACTGAAAACAAAAGATACTTCAATTGTTAATTGAAAAAACAAATTGTTTTTTCTTTTTGTCAAAAAAAAAAAAAATGTACCCCAGGTTGACCTTGAACTTGGAATCCTGTGCCTCAGCCTCCCAAATGCTGAGATTATAGCTAAGGATCACCATGCCAGCTTGAGAAAACACATTTTAAAAAAACTTTTTATTATTTACTTGATACCAGGCCTTGCTATGCAGATCAGATTCGTAGTGATCCTCCTGTCTCAGCCTCCCCAGCTTTGGTTTCAGGGCCAGCACAGTGTGCTTAGAGTTCCAGGACCAGCAAGGCATACAGTACCAGGGATCGAACCTGGGTCCTTGCACTTGCCAGGCAGGCGCTTAGGCCACGGAGCTATCTCCCCTGCCCCAAGAAAACATTTTAAAGACAAGACAAAGTCTCACATTTAAGCTCAACCTGGTTTACTTTTCCTATGGCTTTCTTCTATAAAGTAGGGTTATTATAATGCAGATAACATATGTAGTATAGTTCCTGGCAGAAAGTAGTGCTACATCGCGATACCTGTGAGGAGATACACAGAATATTTAAGTGGTAAGGCACACGCATGAGCAGGCAAATGGAACTTGAGCTGTGAACAACCAGTGTAGAGCACCAGGGCCCAACAGGACATCCTGGGATACTGAAACAGTAAACGCATCCTTTGACTTTGAAAGGTAAGAATCTTACCCAGGATAATTTAAGATATCTGATTAGTAGAAGACCAGCTGATAATTTAGATATCTCAGTATTAAATGAGATATCTTACTATTAAACGAGATATCTTATTTATCTTTTTTTTTTTTTTGCGGAACCGGAGATTGAACTCAGGCCCTTGTGCTTGTCAGGCAAGCGGTTATTCTACTGAGCTATCTCCCCAGCCCTTATTTATCTATCTTACCAGCTTACTTAAGTACTTTAACTTTTAATCTGTATCATATCCAAATTATCCTATTAGAATCTGTAATAAAATTCACTTGTTCTCATGGGACCAGACTTCGCACAGCTTTAACTGGCTGCAGCGCGCTCTTCCCAGAAGCCCTCTCTCCCCTCTCCAGCTTCCAGTCGGCCTCACCATCCAGCATGGCCCTCACTCAGACACCCTCCTGCCCGCCACAATGCTCTCAGAACAGCGAGTGCCACCTGCTCAGCATATGTGGTAGGAGGGGCCCACACAGCCTTTTCGTACAGGCTCACAAGCTTTGCACTTTTTGTTAATTAACAGGGCTAAGTCTAAAGAATTCTACAAATACTTACCAAGATATTCTGCAAGATGAGCAAACTCTGGCTTATTGGCAATGAGCTCTTCTTTGGTGGGAATGTTTATTCCCATGAAGCACGGATATCTGATGGGTGGTGAAGCTACTCGAATATGCACCTTGGGAAGACATCATTGCACACACTCACAGGAAGAATGATTATCAACATTTTTTTCACTGATCAAATATACCATAAAATTGTTCTAGAGACTGTATTGTAACAGTATGTTCAAGAGAACTAAACTATAGCTGGGCCATTGTTCTAAAGACTGTATTGTGGTGTAACAGTATGTTCAAGAGAACTAAACTATAGCCGGGCCTGGTTGCACACGCCTGTAATCCCAACATTTGGGAGGCTGAGGCAGGACGATGGCCGGGAGTTCGAGGCCAGCCTGGGATACAAAGTGAGTGCAAAGCCAGCCTGAATGCACAGTGGAACTATCGCAAAGTGAAAAATACATAATAAATTTTAAAAAGTATAGAATTTGTTTCACTAATAAAAGACTTCAGATCTCCTACATTTAACAGCTTTATGTTCCCAGTGCTACTCTAATTTTTCTCTCTTAAGATCTCAAAGGTGTTTCTGCCGACCTCTTATTTTACTGTATTAGAAAAGATACCACACAACCCACCCCTAGGGCACACTGAGACAGCAATTGAGACTGGGCGTGGTGGCGCAAGCCTATAAACCCAGCTCTCGGATGGCTGCAAACAGTGGATCACTATGAGTCCGATCTAGTAGTGAGACCCTGAGCACCCTGTAGACCCTTCCCT